TGCATCAAAGTGAAAACACACGCACACATGCTTAAGTGTTGTTATTGCTAAGTGCTACTTATTATTACTGACCATTGTGTCATCAACAACAGAGAAGAACATTTTGCATATTTTAGCATATAATGAGTTTTTGAAAACCACCAGTTGTGGTTTTTCTCTTATTATTTTCAGGAAGGAGATAATAAAGCATTAGCATTCTATTTTCCTTCCGGTCACACTTTGCTCAGCATTCCAGTTAATTGAAATTGCAAGCTGTTCCTTTTCTTTTAGGCCACTGAAATTATTTGTATTTCTAGGATAGTACATCTAGTGCACCACTGAAATTTCCTGTCTCCTGAATGTTGTACCACTCTTTCCTAGAAGCAAAGGAAGATCTGTAGGAGAACTAACTAAATTGCCTCTTCTAAAATGGCATATTTTTCTTTACGCACATGCACACCGCATGTGTGGATATACTTCTTCCAGCAGAAAGCCAACAAAAGGGAAAGGAATGTGAGGCTGGACAAAAACAAGGGAGAGGTGATTGTCAAAGTTCCTGAGATGTGTATTCCACACAACACATTTTGGCAATACAATTCTTCAGGGGCTTTTTTGCCTTGCCACAAATCTGCAGCAACAAGCCCTTCTTTTTCTTCATTAGCCAAAACACACTGCTGCAGATTTGTGGGAAAACAAAAGCACCTGTAGAAGGAATTGTATTTCCAAAATACATTAGGCAGAATAACTGTTTCGGGTGCTTTTGAGAATCAGCTTTTCACTTGTTCTTATGCAGTCACGCAAAAGCATCTTGTGGGAGTGAGAAAGGGGTTGTTTTCTGGTTGCATACGAAGTTAATCCTATCAGAGAAGATAAACATTCCTTGTTGATCTCCTTAGTGACTGCTGTAATAGCTTACTACAGGGTGTTCAACAGGTTATGCTCAGGGGATAGATCTTGCTTCAATGTGCCTTCACATTTCATGGAAGACTCACTGCAGCCTCTGTTAGGAACAGATAACAGAAGACTTTTCTGGTTGGAAAGTAGTATGATACTCAACAAATTATGCTCCATGCAGATTTCTGTTAAGTATGACTTACATTAGCAGGGACACAGAAAGTTGCCTTATGCTAAAGATGCAATCCTATGACTGTTCAGACCATAAAAGTCCCATAACTCCAAGTGTGCCCCCATAGATACTTCTCCAGGGTCTCATTTCATCTCGTCCTCCTTAAGAGATTTCCTAGATGCTTCCAGATCCTCATCCAGATCCTTTATTCTGGAGTTGGCCAGCCACGAATACATAATTTTACAGAGAATCCACTGCAAGAGGTTTATATGGTATGCAAAGCCAAAGTAGTATGGTGTCTGACTGAGGTTCTAGTCCCTGCTCAGCCATGAAGCTCACAGGATTACCTTGGGCCAGTCATACACTCTCAGTCTAACTTTCTTTACAGGGTTGTTGCTGTGAGGCTAAAATCAAAAGGAAGAAAAATCTGTAAGCCGCCTTGTGTTCCTTGCAAAAGGAAGAAAGGTGGGATGTAATAATAACAACATATCATCATATTCTCCCATTCAGGGGAGGTCCCATACAGGTTTTCAGATGACACTGTCATCCACTTGTTACTTTCCTGTGTTTTCCCACCACTTTTCCTTACTGAAGAAAACCCATTAAGCAAAGAAAGATGGAATAGGTGCAGAATGTATTATTAGTCACGAGAAAGACACAGGCCTGTGTGTGTGTGTTGACAGAAAAGATTCCTCCAGCTCCCAGCATGCCCCAGCCAACCAAGCTAGCTGGAAATGGATGCCTATGACTAGTCTTAAGGCAATATTTGTTGTTCATCTGTCATGGGGACTATAATAACTTTGTAGATAGGTATGCATTTGGCATCTAGTTCTGGTACTTCTGTTCTGGACATGTTAACTTATCAGAAGCTGTTGGGAGATGTGTGAGGAAGGATCACCTTTGAAACAATGTACAATGAGGTAAACATGGCCTCAGCATGAAAGGGCATGATGTAACATTGTGGAGGTATGGAGAGCACACTAAAGCTCCTGATTTAAATGACTGTATATCAAACTGTGGTCCACAATGAGGCTGAAATTTCATTTGACTTGCTATCCTCTATACTACCTGATCTGCCAGCTGTTGAAAATCAGGACTGGGGTCAAAACCACCTTCACTGCAGTGCAGATGGTGTTCCTTCTGGAAGAAAAGTGTAGAAGCACCCAGTATCTTTTTATATTTCTTAGTACACTAAAAGAACAATCCTATGCATGTTTAGATGGGAAAAGTCCTAAAATTCCCTGCACTCTCACAGCAGCACAGCTGGCTAAGGAATAGTGAGTATTGTAAAACTTTTTCCTATCTAAACATGCACAGAATTGCATCTTAAGTCAAACAATTTGCCCACCTCGCCCAGTACTGTCTGTTCTGATGGACAATGGTTGGCTGCACACATCACGACAAACAGCCCTCTGTGGTTTCCATGGTGTGTGGTTTTTTTGTCCACATGTGCCTGACAGATGATAAAGTGGTTTCTATGCTAGCAATGGTTTCCATCCTCCTTGTTCAGTCCTCTTGCCGTGTATCTCATCAGCCACTATGCCTGAAGTTTAACTTTCACTCTTACCAGGGGACTCTGTGGTAGCACCATAGAAGCACAACCTCAGGTTTGATGATCAAAAAACCATAGTGAAGCATAGAAAACATAGAAAAAAACCATTGTTTCTTATCGTGCTTTCTAAAAACCAAACATAGCATGCCAAAATACCGCAGCAGGATTCAGACAGCATGATGGACAGCAAGAAGCCACTGTGCCAGACCAGACCCATCTCTCTAGGGTTCAGGTAGAGAGACTTCTGTATCAGCTGCTCCCGGATCCTTTTAGATGCAGATGTTATGGATAGATCCTGGGACCTTCTGAATGCAATACATTTGTTTTTCGAGAGCTCCCCATTATTTCAGGTTACCTGATTAATGATGTTTCTCTTTAAAACAGGACGTTTGAACTCCATTCAGCCGAAAGGACAAATACAATGTCAGATTAATTCTCAGGAACTGGATTCCACTGGTTGACAGGACAAAACAGACAGAGGCCAAAACATCAAAAATACCAGCATCCTTTAGCTTAAAGCTCTTACTGGCAGTAACTAAACCCTGGAAGAACCATTTCAACCATTCAGATTGGGGGGAAATAACTGCACAAAACTCAGAAAAACACAAAATGACAAATAGTTGGGATAAATAGTTGTGCCTGGGGATGTTGAAGAAATCTGCACTGAACTCAAATGAGTTCAGATATCTAAGAATCCATCCTACAGATTCTGCCATGGATCAGCTTTTCCCAAGTGAATGAATTCTTCCGACTTGCAGACCATTGCAAAAAAAAAAAAAAAAAACCTTTAAGCACCCACCAAAAATGAGCATTTCCCCCCTAGGATAGAGCATGAAAATGCCCATTCAATTGGGGTTTGTGTTTTTGAGGAGAGGATTCAAGCGTTTTTGGAAGTATGAATTTTCGCAAATGTATACGGATACATATGCAATCCAATTTTGTCAATGAATGGACAATAGAACAGAGGATGCCTGACCATCCATGAAATATAGATAGAATAAGAGTTTGCAATGCCCGTATCTCCCTAACTGAGGCCTTCTGGGAAACTCCAGATGCCCAGATTTGGCTGATGGGCCTGAGGCTATATCCCCTGGTTTTTGCAGTTGTCAAGCTATACAGCACACAGGACACCAATGGTAAACTGTTTTTTGGATTTTATTGGTAATCATTACATAAAGAGATATGGCTCAGGATTGCCCAAATCTGAATCACAAACCCACTGGAATTGTCAACATTGATTAAGTTTTGTGACTGATGAAGCATTCTTTGGGAACTCTTTACATGACTATATTTGTAGAGTATATAGGAAAAGAAAGCTCTGGTATCCTATCTGTAACCATATCTAATGTTTGGGACTTTGAAGGAATAATATATGTAACCACTGAAACAGAATGAATTTTCTCCTGACATTGTCTTCCAGCTCCTAGCAAACCTGAGGACAAAGCTACATTTCTGAACCATCTTGGCTATCAGTCATGTGAAATTTGTCTAATTATTCATTAAATCCCCTTCTACTACTAGCTTTGACTATCTCGTGGCAAACAACCTGAGGCATTATATTTCCACACAGAGCAGTCAATCATCAGGACTAGCCTTAATGATTTTGCTTCCTGAAGCTAAGGACAACATGGAAACTTCTACCCATTCAATGTACAGAAGCCAAGTAGACTGGGAGTTTGATCTTACTTCCAGAGAACAGCATCTTCCACCATACCAAGCTTAGTTTAGGAAGCCCAGCTTAGACCACATGATATATATAGCTCCATCCTTCAAAACAAAAAAATGGCCTGGGAGGAAAAGAGGGGGTGGGCTGCCACTGCTGCTCCCCAATATCTGCTGTCCAAAGAGATTACCTGACTCTGCCTAACCGGAGCATCACTTTGTCCTAGACAGAATTTAGGACCACTTATAACCGGCAACTCTAATTGGCAGCTTTCAACTAACTGCACAATTCTGCACGTATCTAGTTAAAATCTCTCTGAGTTCAGTGGGGGCAATGGCACTGTGAAAGAATTGTTTTAAAGATCATTGAATCAGATTCCCCAAATGCTGTTGATTTGTACCAGTGCTAGAGACTGTATTTTATGAGTGCAGAAGATATCAATAAAGACAGTAAATAAAAGATGGAATATTGGAATATTATTCAATATGTAAATGCATGAATCCTAACAAAAATAACTTGTTGTGCAAATTGGTTTGTGTTACCATTTGGTAAATATTGGATTAACTGCTATATCCTCAAAATAACAGCCAATAAATGTGGCAACTATCATTTTTGCAACTGACAATAATGCCAACATTTTCCAGTTGACAACTGGGCTGCTAGTTACAGGCAGCAACAAAAAAAAAAAAAAAAAACAATTCAAGCTGCACATTACACAACAGAGAGCCTCAGAAGCTCACCTTTAAATCAGGAGGTTTACTCCGGGTAACAGGATGGGATGCTGGATTTTGATTGGAAGCACCCAAATCCGACAGGGCAGCAGCTGAATCCACAGGCTTGGAATCCATGGTAGGCAGGATGGGAGCATCTTCAGTCCCAGCAGGGGAATCGTCGTCTGTCTGCTGCAGCTCATCCGATTTGCACCTCTTCATGCTGGATGAGAGGTCGGCCTCTTGCTTCTTGAAAACATTACAAATGAAAATCGGGAGGGGAGACAGTTAGGAGAGGATCAGAACAGCTGGATTAACCCAGAAGGTTGAAGTTCATTTCACCTGTGAGATGCAAGGGAGCAGGCAGGCCGTAGGGAGGAGCTGAAGAGAAGATGCCTCCATCCCAACTCCTAACATTGGGTAGTAGGGCTGGTACCACTACCGCTGCCCCCTCCCAAACTTTGGCTATATGAGTTGCAATTGCAACTGGCTGGAATTTGACGGTGTGGGGAGATGCGTGGACAAATGGCATGCTGATGCATTTGCTAATAGCCCCCTCCCCCTGCAAGTAATGCTACTACTCACTGTTTAGGAAAGCAAACGAGCGATGCGGACCTCGGTGCCTTGCATGGCTGCAAATTCCCTTCCGGCGAGTGCATGTCTTTCTTCCCTTTCGTGCTTTCTCTCTCTCTCTCTTTCTTTGAATATGATGGACAGGCGACTGTGCTCCGTCCGTTGCTCCGTCTTCCCCCTGCAAAAAAGAGCCCGCTTTCCGGCGCTCCTTCCGAAGCTCAAGAGCAAACCTTCCAGCCTAACCCACCCACCTCGCGAGCCGGGTTCCTAGTCTGACTGACAGCCAGGCCCGGCCAATCCTCGTGGACGCCCGATCTGGAGAGCAAGAGGAGGGCCTGTCCTCGAGCGCTTTCCAGGCTTGGTTGGCCCGTGGCTCCCAGCCTTCCCGCCTCCGCCTCCGCGGCCGCCCGCTTCCCGGGAGCTGTCAATAGGGGGATGGTGCTGCACTGGGCTGCGGCTTTGCAGTGCGGGCGGCGGCGGCGCGAAGGCGGCGCGACGTGGAGCAGGGGCCAGGGCCCCTCTCGCCTTGGACCCGTCGCAGGAGCCCAGGTCGTGGGACTTGGCTGGTCAGACGGATGCCATCCCTCCGGATCGCCATGGGAACCAGCTGGCTAGCTGCTGACCGAGGCTGGCTTTGCCTTATTTATTTGCGATAAAACGTTACCAAAGGAATATGTTGCGGCTTTAGCGATTTGATTGCCCTTCAGTATATTTCAGAAAAACATATATGTCCAGTTAATCCTATAAAAAACACAGCCTCCAGAATATTCAGGATGGCCTACATGCATTTACTCCCATTTTATCTTCTCATCAACTCCAGTAGGAAAGGTAGGTTGGGTTACTCCTGGGCAAGTGTGTATATCAGGGTTGGGAAGCCTGTGTCCGTCCAGATGTTATTTAACTACAGCTCCTGGCAACCCTAAACACTGGACATACTGGCTAAGCATTAGTAAGTTGAGCCCCAACAGAGCCAGCCGGTCCCCAAGCCTGGTGTATTGGACTAAAGTCCAAGATCTTTTTTGCACAATCTTACAGCACAATCTACTCAAAAGTCAGTGCCATTGAATATAATGAAGCTTACCCTAGAAAAGTGAAATAGGATTATTAGCTGTTTTTGGTTAAGAAAAAAAATAACTTTTTCAGTTCAGCCAAAGAAAAAGGCTTTCTTTCCAAACTATTGCTCTTCAAGAGAGAAGAATCTCACTCTGCTAAATTTTTCTCCTCTTTCAAAATTAAATAACTAGTCTATTTCACTAGAACAAAAATGGATCTTCAAATTAAACATGACATTTTAATCACTATCTCAGCTATAACTAATTGGCAAGAATCCCAAGAGGTGCATGTCCCCTTTGCTTTGAGGTCTGGACAGTCTCTGATTTTGTCCAATTTTGACTACTTCCTACATTTTTACACCTTCTCTTTGATACAGTCTCATTTTGATTATTTTAAAACCAATGCATAGTTTTGCAAGAAGTGCTAAAATAAGAAAAAAGCTGACCACTGCTGTATCATGTGACTCAGCATTCGGTCTGTAACAGCCCCTTGGAACAGCTCTTTGGATTGCCTTTTTGTCACCTGCCATATAACAGTGTTTATTGGTGGATATATTTTGAATGCATATATGTATTTTATTTCTATTTTTTGCCAAACCTGCAGTAATTATGATGGAGCCATTTGCTATTTCCTCAACATCCACTGTACCACACAGTGCTATAGATAGATATGTTAAGTCTATATGTAGTCCTGATATAGATAATAGATCTCAGGAGTACATATATTCAGTCTCAGGAGTGACTCCCAAAATGGAAGATTAAGGCCAGTGCTTACTTCTTCCTATGTTAGAAGTAACATAAGAGATGTGCTATCCTTTAGATATTGATGGATTGCAACTCCCATCACCCTTAAACAATATAGCAGCGGTAAGATAGGATGAGAGTTGCAGTCTAATAACTGGAGAATCACACATTCCCTTCCCCTGTCCTCTGTTGTGCTGTCACATTGGCTGAGCCTACCTGGTTAAAAAAAGGTACAGCAAAAAGTAATGGAATCCATTTAGAGCAAATAGTTTGAAGGTGACAGCCTTGAAGCAATGTGATCCTATGAGCCACTCGCAGGAAAAGAGACTTTTGTGATGTGGCAATAACTGCCACTTCCTTACAGAACTGTGACTAATCGTAATTTGTAACTGGTGTAATGAACCCTCCTGGGCCATCACTTTTCTGCAGTAATTCAGTGCTGCAGCTACGCTGACAAGAGGCACTTGTGAAGAAGCAGAACAGGAGCTCTCAGTGATGCTCACTGCAACTGTAGGTATGTCCGTTACCTTTGTCCACAAGTAGGGCAGTCACTTGTACACCAACAGAACAGAGGACATGCATTGGTTAAAAAAGAGGTGCAAACACATTTGCATGTGCTAATTTATATGTATACAGGTAAATTTAGAAATTATCATAATTTCAATAAAAATACAGTATATCTCATCATACTGTGAAAGGCTGTTACCATGGGACCTGTGTGCCTTGCTTTGGCTCTGTTCAGATGCTGTGGATGGGCAACTTCAAGACCTGCTTCTTCTGATATTCTTTATTTTTTTATTGGAGTTGGACTGGACCACCATGCAGATTCAAGATGTCTACAGAGGACAGTCCTCTACAAGTCATCCAAATTATGAGAGTAGTTTTTAGTTGGGAATACTTTTTATACCACCCCATAGTCCACAGGGCTCTCTGGGTAGTTTACAAATGAAACAAATGTTTTGGGAATGCCACTGTTATACTAATACTTCATTTTATTTGGTAAATTTGTCTGAGGCAAGGTAATTGTGGCATTCTTAGAATATATTTAAGGTCAAAACACATTTGGTGCCTATTTGATACATGATTTGTCAAGTTAATCACAACAAAGATGCAACAAAATGCTCATTTTTTGTTTTTGAGGCTATACATGAAGACCTGGAGGAATGTTGTCCATGGGGTCGCAATGGGTCGGACACGACTTCGTGACTAACAACAGCAACAACGTTATATTTATCTGTATAATGCTAGCTGAATTTATTTGTTTATTTATTTGATGTTATATATATTTTATTGTTGTAAGCCGCCCCGAGGCTTCAGCGAATGGGGCGGCATAAAAATGTTTTAATAAATAAATAAATAAATAAATAAATAAATAAATAAATCCCAACTTGGTTGTTGTTGTTTTTAAATGGGCTACAGAACTGTATCCATAGACTTAGAATTAAACAGTTTTGAAAGTAAGAGTTAGGGGATTCTGAGAATAATATACTTTACAGCAGGGGTCTTTTTTGACCAGGGGGCCAGTGGAAAGGTGCTGGTGCTGGGCATGGGCCGGAAAGCAGTGTGTGTGGGCCGGCGAGGGGGCAGGGTGGGAGCGGCATGTGCAGGCGCTCGGGCTGAAGTGGGCCGGGGCATGTGACGAGGGGAGACAAGGTGCTGGTGGGCACGCGCCGTGAGGTGGGCGCACAAGACAGCTGCTTGCTTGCCTGGAGATCGCTTTCTCCGAGTGAGCAAACCGCTGCCTCCTGTGCGGGATGAGGTGGGTGGTGGTGGGCGTGCGCACAGCGAGTCCAAATGGGCATGGCGGGCCAAATCTGGCCCCCGTGCCATCCTCACACATGTAATTGGTTCGCAGGTGAGGGATTAAAAGCAACATATGTTACTATGCCATATTGGTCTCACATAGAAAGGCAAAGGCACAAATAATTTAAACCAGGTTGCTTTTATGTAAGCCAGGTTGCTCCCACAAAAATCACTGGAAGCTATTTAATCAGTCTTCAGATGACAAAGTGTGTAAGTGACTGAATCGGGCCTGGCCTTCAAGGGTCCTGTATGTTTAGAATGTGTTGTAGATGCAATCACAAAATATTTGTCATGGAGAGTGTCTTGCCCATTCACAAAATGGCATTTTCCAAAAGGCAAAAGAAGCCTGAAATAACTTTGCCCAAGAACCTTATTAAAAGGGAGAAGTGGGGTGACGCTCAGAGAAATTCCCACACAAACCCAGGCAACTTTTCAAAAAATTACACTATTCTTTTGAGCCCACAGCTTTCTACTTCAACACACAAAACTGGGGCTGAAAGATTACTAACATAGTCAAGAACCTGACTAGAAAGTTAGGTGAGATATGAATCCCAAATGCTGAATCACATCACAATACCAGGTTCACCAAAGACAAACTAGTAATACTCAAATAAACATGCATACAGGCAAAACATCCGCCTCCCCAACAAATCCCAAGTCCGGCAATATGCACATGCATGGACATGCACCCACGCAAACCATTCAGAAACAACAGGCTAACGATAGAAACAAAACCCAGGCAAACACATCACACAGAGACACATAACCAAAGTGAAATACACACCACAGCACAACAAGCAACTAGGTAATACACAGACCACTTAAACACGCATATACAAGTAACCCCAACAGATACACGTGCACAAACATGCACATCACAGATAGAAAAGCAAACAAAATATACCCCATTACTCCCCACTACCCTTCATCTCCATGAAGAATGCTCCAGTTCTTTATACCTCAAAATACTCTACCATCCAAGTCTCTTCTCGTCTCATCTCTTCTCTTCATTTTCTGTAGGTTGGGCACTCGTCAAAACAAAGTTCTGAGTCACAGCCCCCCCTCTCATTTTCTCAGAAAATCTAAAGATGGTTTACAATAATAAAAACACAAAAACAATTTAGTGCATTTTTCTTTTGCAAGAACGCCTGTGGGACCCCACATGAGGCCTAGAGACTTTATTAGAAATACAGATGGTGCAGTCCTAGAGGACTTTGCAGTATGTCCATCTAGAATTGAAAACCAGAAAACAAGAACAAAACAATCCCCCTGCTTTTATCCAGAAAAATCAATTAAAAATCTTTTTTTTTTAATTGAACACATGTGCCTTATGACATGTGCCTTATGGGGCATGCGCCTTATGACAAAATCCTACATACATTTAACAAAAAACATTAAATTCAGTAGGGTTTACTCCCAAATAAGTGGTGCAGGATTGCAGCCTTAAATGTTTAGCATTGTGTTAGGACAACAGCTGTTGCTTCGTTAGACAACAAAATGCCTTGTGAATTTGATATACCAATAGGCTAAATTCTGCAGTGAAAGGACAGAAGCTTCTAAACATCACAGTTTTTTTTCTGGTCTT